CATTAGCACCTCTAGTAATATATTTACTGAGAAAAATGGTGACGTGTTCAATACTTATTTTACCCACTGTAAATATTTTTAATGAGCTTCTTTGTGAGCCTCTTTTAGAGGTTCCCTGTAGATTGTGATATTGCTAGGGATTAAATGTAATAAAAACAGCAAATTTAAAGTTTCCAAACATAAGCTACAGTTTGTAATCAGTTCAGCACAATCCTGTATAAGAACAGATATTGAAAGATGTAGCAAAATAAAAAAAATGCAGTTTAAAATATGAAAAAGACAACAACAAACTTACAGTACAGATCACTTAATGCCACCAATCACTAAAGATTTGTGGAAAGCAAAGGAGAATATCCATCCATCCATCCATCCATCCATCATCCATCCATCCATCCATCCATCCATCCATCCATCCATCCATCCATGGTTATTCTATGTAACTGCTTCTTTATATAGATTTTTTGGTTATTAGCAAGCAAAACAGCAGCAGCAGCTAGCTGTAGCTCTAAGGCTATGTCACTTCCTGCAATATTATCATAATATGTTTACCAAAGAAGCAGGTAATGAGAAAATCTATATGCTCAGTTTTGTAAACTTTTATATAAAAAAAAGTTTGCAAAAACTGTTTTGAAACTTTTAAAGTTAGTCTTGTTTTATGATAAAGGATCCACTTGGGTTTTGCTCCCAGATGAGCCGTAAGCTTCTTTCTCATTTTTTTCTTAAAAGTTTTTCTTCTTCCTTAAACTGAGGTTGTTCAAAAAGCTATCTACAACAGGTAAGATACTGTTTGCTACATTTTCTACATTATTAATGCAGCTCTTCAGGTGCTTTACATTTAATAGAAGTTTTCATGAGTTTGTTTTTGGCTTAATTTGAGCATAACTTGTATGTGTGGTGCACAGTATTCTCTCTCTCTTTATTTGAGACTTTTATCACACAACTATCATCACTTCCGCACATTTTACTCCTTATCCCTCGTGTTTTCACATCTTCCAACCTCCTCCTGCTGTCAGCTTCATCCAGCGACGCCACWGTTTCTCCTGACCTTCTCATCCTTAATGATGCATGTAAACTGCTCCTGTCCATCGCTGGCTTTATTTATCTGCTAACAAATTATTACCCTTGATGTCTAGTGCTGTGTTGAGGTGTGTGGGTGCAAACCAAGGACTGTGTGTGTGTGTGCGTGTGTGTGTGTTTGTGTGTATCTCTTTCTTTCAAACTGCTGTGATAAAGCACTCTGGCCTCTTGCTTGTTCAGCCATCCCTATCTGTCTATCTTCACCTCCTCACTCTGGGCGGTACACTCACCTTGTGTCTGGTGCAAAACATACATATGCATGAATACACACAGGAACACAGASCTTCTAGTAACTTCTTTCTTTTCTGCGGCATAAAAACATGCGTGTTTATAGAATTAATACAGACATTTAGGTTTTTTAATTCGTCTGTTTTTGAGTATATCTAGCAAGTGTTAGCGTCAGTTTTTAAAATATGTGTGATGCTGCACAYCACTACATGCTACTGAAGACCTAATGATGAAAACAAGAAGTTAACAAGCCAAACCTTTAAGAAAAGCAGTAATTAATTATTAAAATAATGCCGTTACAGTAACGGGGGACTTACTCCTCTTTCCTTGGTTTGCGTTTATCATCCTGGACAGATCTCTGAGTGGACAGAGACAAAAGATGATGGACAATTAATTACATTTATTCAGCTTTTTAATCAACAATTATACGTTTAAATTAGCAATTATTCTCATTTTTGTTTACCTTTTACGCTGAAACAAATTTCCACTGAATTATTTTTAAACTAGGTAAAATTGGGATGCACATTAAACAGACTGACAGCAATAAAAATCATTCAATTCTCTGAAAGAATCTCTCTGTGATGAACTAAAAAATAAAAAACCCAACAACAAATAAAATAGTTTTTTTGTGTAAAAGAAAATCTGCTGCAGGAAATTGACAAAAAACTTTATTTCTAGTGACAGCTTGAGAATTTTTGAATAGATGTGTGTAAATGTGGAATAAATGTTTAAATAGAAAAAAAGATCAATCAGTGATGTATTGTCTGGAAAAGCTGTTACTGTTTCAAAGATTTGAAAGTATCTCAAATCAATCCCCATCTCTTCTGACTTACATGAATAAGTGTGTAATAAGTGGAGTCCTCCGGTGTATTTAGAGTTTTTGGCTGCTGCGTTCTGCGGGGGGATCTTGAGAATTTCCTTTCAGCTGGAAAGAAATCGATGTTTAAAACACAGAGCAACAGTTTTGCAGATCGCACAAAGCAGCTAAAACTTGGGCTTTTGTTCCGTAACAAAAGTAGTAAACAGAATGCTTTACTTTCTTCTTTAAAAAAAACAACCTATTGTGACCCTTAACAACTGTTTTGTGTTATAAGGGTTATGAGGGCTTGTAAATTAATGATTACATGCTTTCAATTTGTAAATCACGCTGTGACTAATATATTCAAGTTTATGCAGAAAACCAAATAAAAGAAAAGTGGAAATTATATCTATTTGTAACATAGTTCTTGTTAGAAGCAGATTACGACATCTGCAGATTTAATGTAAAGCTGAAAATAATAAAATCATGTTTAGACCATGCATTACCGTGAATACATTGCAACAAAGGTGTAGATTTAGTGTCTGTTAGAAATTATAAATTGATTATCGGAGGGTTATTCTGCTTACTGAGCAGCCCTGAAGCTTGTTCCCAGTTTGAATCTTCCACTGAAAAACTACTTTTGACACAAAGCGTCCAATAACCGAGCAGCTCTCCATACTTTTGTGTAAATCAGTGTGTTTGTGACAAGCTGCTCAACATGCTGTAATGCAATCAGTCAAAATTTGCACGAGTGATCTGACAATCTGCCCCATCTATGTTATTGCAGTTATAAATACATCGGTGTGACCTTTGCCTGTTGCTCAGTATTAATGTTCACGTTGGTGGGGGGTGGGGGCAATCCATCACGTGCAGAAGCTCCCAGGTAAAGAAGATGAAAAGTGTCAAATGTTATTGAACAAGTCCATCTAAAAAGGTCATTCCTCCTTTGCACCAAGAAGTAAAGCTAATTTTGCGCACCATATTAATTCCCGCCATAATTATTGGCTCACAAAACACGATTAACATTTGACGACCTTTCGTGTGAAGAGCAACGCAGCCTCTGCCTTCATTGCGTGTGGCAAACCTGATTCTGGTTCAGCTTGTTGTGTTGCTCAGATTTATGACAGATTAGCTCTGTCTGCAGAGAAATTACTTGGAGTTGATGAGAAGTGTAATTTTCTGGTAGTTGTGCTACCCTTTGTAAATAACACAGATAATTCAATTTATTTAACCTCAGGCAATTTGCTGTGCTGRAAAAAAAGTCTTTAAAGGGCAAATGGGCCTGGATTAAAGAAAGACTTTGACTTTGGTGTCTTTATTTCATGTAGCTGAAGCAAACAGCTAGCAAAAATAACAAAAACAGTCAATAAAACTGTGTGATGTTACAAAAGAAAAGTGTGACTTTAATTTTGTATTACAGTATGTGTGCAGCTTAGTGTTCAAATCTTTGAATAAAACATGTATTGATGTATAAAAATACAGTGCTAAATAAAGACAAATCTCCTTTTATTTAAGTGTTGAGTGAACATGCATGAGAGACTTTGTTTCATTGCCGACATCCTTCTYGACYCAACTTGGGCTCAAACCTGCAGCCTCAGGAGTACGAGACCGCAGTACTGACCACTGATTCACCGCGGTCCCAGTGCMATGTTAAAAAAGGCTAAATAAATAAAAATATAATCAATGTCACATTATTGTTCAAAAATAAAAGTGTTTTCTAAAATTTCTACTTATAAATGAGCAAAAACTCA